CAAAATTTTCTTGTGATATGGGTCGATGCCGATTTAGATGCGTCTAAAGACGATTATAAAAAATCAATGAAACATCTGCAACATGTAGCGGCAACAGTCGCAGTGTTTACAGACCGTGACGAATCTATTGATTTTCTCACTGATACTGAAAACGAAAAAGTATCTATGATCGTATCTGGTGCCCTAGGACAACATATAATACCGGTAATTCAAGAATGCCCACAGTTAGTCTCAATTTATATTTTCTGTGATAATCCATTGATTCATGAACGATGGGCCAAAACAATTGCTAAAGTAAAAGGCGTATACACAGAAATTGACTCGATTTGTGAAGCATTACGAATCGATCGTGAAAATTGTGATAGAGCTTTGATATCAATCAGTTTTAATCGTTTGGACCCATTATTCATGTATACACAATTGTTGAAAGAAGCACTTTTGGATATAGAGGATGATGATGCGAAATCGATTAAAGAACTTGCTGAGTACTGTCGCCTTCAAGACGGTGCTTCCCCAAAAACAATTGAAATGATCGAACGAGAATATCGTAATCATTCACCCATTTGGTGGTACACAGGTCCATATTTTATTTACTCAATGCTCAATTGTGGTCTTCGACTAATGAATGTCGACATTATACTTAAAATGGGCTTTTTCATCCGACATCTGCACAACCATATTACAGAATTACACCGGGAACAGCAAGGCCGCATGCCGACAAAATTTCAAGTCTTTCGTGGACAAGGTTTGCCGGTGGAAGACTTTGAAAAAATTAAAAAAACAAAAGGAGGACTTATGTCCTTCAATAATTTCTTATCAACAAGTCGCAATCGTGATATATCTTTCAAAAAATTTGCACGGCCAGCGACAAAGAATCCCACCTCAGTTGGCATTCTCTTTGTTATGAACATTGACACGGCTATTTGCACAAAATCATCAACACCATTTGCTGAAGTCAGCAAAGTTGGCTACTACAACGATAAAGAAGAAGAGATACTCTTTTCAACACATACAATCTTTCGCATCGACCGGATCGAACGAATTCCCGACGAGCATACGGATCGCCTATGGCAGGTCAATCTCACTCTCGCAGGTAATCAAGATGATGACTTTAACAAACTCACGGCACACCTGCGAGAAGAGATTAGTGGGGAAACCGGATGGGCTCGACTGGGTTCTATACTTATTAAACTAGGTGAGCCTGCAAAAGCAGAACATCTCTATCAGATACTCCTCGAAAAGGCATCTACTGATAAACAGCGATCGGATTATAATCGTCAACTTGGTTCCGTGTATTATTGGATGGGTGAGTACTCGAAAGCACTTTTGTATTATGGAAGAGATTTGGAGATCAGTCAAAAAGCTCTCCCTCCAAATCATCCCGACTTGGCTACTTCCTACCTCAACATCGGTTCGGTATATTATAGTACGCGCGAGTACTCGAAAGCACTTTCATCGTATGAACGATCACTTGAAATCAAGAAAATAGCTCTCCCTCCAAATCATCCCTCCTTGGCTTCTTCCTACAATAACAGCGGTATGGTGTATATAAATATGGGCGAGTACTCGAAAGCACTTTCATCGTATGAACGATCACTTGAAATTCGGAAAATAGCTCTCCCTCCGAATCATCCCGACTTCGCACAATCCTACAACAACCTCGGTGCGGTGTATGATAAGATGGGCGAGTACTCGAAAGCACTTTCAAATTACGAAAAAGCTCAAGAAATCTGGAAAAAATCACTGCCTCCAACACATCCACATATTGCCCTGGTGAAAAGAAACATCGAGATCGTGAAAAAGAAAGTGTAATTTTTTTTTTATTTTGAGAAGAAAAAATAAATTGCCCTTTTCTTGAAAACCCACCGAAGTGAAGCAGCTGCAACAAATTTCGCGCACGCGCGACCAGGGATATCCCCCGTATTCCATTGGCTCGTACAGTGGACAAAGCCGGCAATGGTTAGGCAAACATACATCTATGTATGTATGACTAGTACATCCATGATCATCGCCTTTGAAAAGACGATGATGAGATGAATGCTTCTAGTCATGCATATATAGATGTATGTTACGAAGGCCCACCCTCTGCACACCTGCACGGGTCACCAACAGAACGTCGGATATCCCTGAGAAGGTTCAATTATTTTAGAGCCACCCTCAAAAGCTCCGTTCGTTTTAAATTTTTTTTTTAAATTCTTTTGTTATGAAGAACGAGAAGAAGAAGAAGAAAAGATATGAAAACGGAAAGACGCGATGAAAGACGACGTCAACGAATTATAATACGCAGTGCACGATAACAACCGGTGTTTTGATGAACACTGTGAAATTGAGTGCACGATATGTTTATCGTCTTTACACATTTCGTTTCTGTTTTTCATTGTGAATGTGTAAGAACAATTGATATGGCGTACGCTCGACATCATATCAAACAAGCGATGATTGAAGTGAACAAACGACAGGAACGAAAAAAAAATACCAATCTTATACATATTATTTTAAATATGTGTGTCAGAAAAAATTAAACCTAGATTTTGAAAATTTAAATTTTAAGACGCAATTGAACTTGATTGCATTAGTGATTGATGAAAAGTAGGGAAATTATAAATTTTATCATTTCAATTCAAAATATAAATATAAAATATCATTAGTTATCATACAGTTTTGAGAATATTTTTCTTTCTTCATTACCTCTATAGATGATTAGTTACATTTTATTTGGCTTAAATATAGAAGAATTTCAATCGTCATCAAACAAAAATCAACAATCAATAAATAGAAGTAAAAATATTTTTCAATTAGTATTCGACAAATAATAAATGATTTTAATTTCAATGTAAATCTTTTTTTTTTCGTGTGTGCTGATATGATATGTTACATTTGTTTACGACATAATGATCCTAATGTTGTTTCAAGTTTATTGGAAACACTTGAAATTATACTTAAATATTCA